GCAGCAGCGCGCCCGGCGACGCGCCCGCCGGCCCGCCGCCGCCCTCGCCCGCGGGCGGGTTGATCCGCTTCTCCTGCGGGGGGAAAACGCGCTATGAGTCTCGGCTCGCCGAGCTCTTCGCGACGCACGGTGGACGCCCGGCGTCGGCGCGGCGGGGAGGCGCACCTTTTGCCGGCGGTTGCAGAACCAGACGCGCACCACTTCCTTCTCCATGCAGAGCGCGTCGGCCAGGGCGGCGATCTCCTCGCTGGTGGGCTTGGGGTTCTGCATGAAGGCCTTCTCGAGCGCCACGCGCACGCCCGACTCGATGGAGGTGCGTTTCTTGCGGCGGCGACCCACGGCCTCGGCCAGGCCCGCGCCCAGCGCCGCCCCGCCCCCGCCCCCGCCGCCCGCTAGTGACGAGTCCGCGTCCTCGAGCCACTTTTGCAGCAGCGGCTTCAATTTGCACATGTTCTTGAAGCTCAGGTTCAGCGCCTCGAACCGCGATATCGTAGTCTGGGAGAAGTCGTTCCCGTACAGCTTGCCCATCGCCAGCCCGACATCGCCCTGCGTGAATCCTGCACAATGTAGTGGTGGCGGTGAGAGGCGACCTCGCGACGACCCATGTTCCCGCCGAGCTATCTCTGGCCGCACTCACCCAGCTTGATGCGGCGCTGCTTGAAGGTCTTGGCGAAGTGTTCGAGCTCCTCGAGGTCGGCGGTGTCGTCGGCGACGGCGGGCTCGAGCGCGCGCGGCTTGTGCGCGTGCGCGTGCAGCGGCGTGTGCGCCTGCGAGTGCGGAGGGAGCTGGTGCGGGTGCGGGGGGCTGCGCGCCCGGCCCGAGCCCGGCGTCAGCGGCGTCAGGAAGGCGCCCGCGCCCGGCGGCGTGCGCCGCGGCGGCGACGGGGACCGGCCCGCACCTGAAACGGCCCTCGGTCAGCGACTCGAGCTCCGCAGCCAGCGCGACACGCGCGAGCCCTGTAGCTCACTTGTGTTGTAGAAAAAAAAGTGTGAATAGCATTGTGACAAATCATCGCGATGTTCAATTCAAAGTGTGTCTCGGTTACCAGTGGTGGGCACGGGCAGGGCGGCGGCACGCGCCTGCAGCTGCTGCAGTTGTTGCGCGGCTGCCTGCGCTACCGCCTGCTGCACCTGCGGACGTTGGTTAATTGTTAGCGGGCGAGCACTCATGTCTCGCCGATCGCTATAAGGAGGTCCAGCCTCGACGCTCTCTGACCTGTGTGTGCAATAAGAGCGAGTGCGCGCCGTGCTGCGTCAGCAGCAAGTGTTGCAGCTGCGCAAGCGCCGAGCCTGCGCCTCCACTGTGGAGCAGCCCATGCGGTGCGTGTGCGTGTGGGTGAGCGGGCAGCGGGAGGGCCGCAGAGGGCGCACGCGGCGGAGAGGGAGCACGTTCGTCGCCCGAATGCTCGCCCTCGCCCTCTCCCTCGCCGCTCGCCGAACCATCTGTAAATCGCACAGATATCAGTCTTCGCGCTCTTTCTTACCTCTTCCTTTACCTTCTGTGAAAAACTATATTCATAAATATAAATAGATCGCACAGAAATTGTAAAAAAATTGTCATCACATTTCCTACGGGGATGGCAGGCGTCGCGTCGCCGCTATGAGATCGAATAACCGACTAACCGAATAATTAATGTAAAGTATTTAGGTGTTACAATAGATGATAACCTCTCTTTTAAGCACTTCGATATGCGAAGCGGTCGAATCCGTAAGCTAATGTATGTGTTTAAAAAACTACATGGCGCTTTTGCTGATTTTATAATAATCAGGCAAGTTTATTATGCCATATGTCAATCAATTATTACATATTGCATTACATTTTGGGGTGGTATTGCTAAAACTTCATTACTAACCCTTGAGAGGGCCCAGCGAGCCGTTCTAAAGGTTTCTACCTTCCGCCCTTTCCTTTACCCCACTAACCTTCTGTATAAGTCGACTAAGGTACTAACTGTAAGGCAATTATTTATTAAGTCCACATTTCTCAAACAGCACATTGCACTCTCATATTGTACTGAAAACACTAACAAAAGACGGAAAGATATTGTCTGCCCCAAAATTGTATCATCAAAACATGTGTTTATTTCCAGATTTTTTGTGTTTCTTGGCCCAATTTTGTACAATAAATTAAACGCCAAATTGGCCATATATCATTTATGGTACATAAAGGTTAAGAAAATTCTCCAAGAATTCCTTCAAAATATGTCCTACGATGATACAGAGAATTTATTAATTATCCCAAAATAAATGTTGCTTAATTTAAGCGTAATAGGTTATGATTTGCATTTCATTGTTTAATTATTATTATTGTTTTGTTTACATTTCAATATTTTTTTTGTTTATAATTTAATCGTCATATGTTCACCTGTATAATTAGGATTCTCCTAGTTCAGGTATATGTGTTATATTTTACATTTATTCGCACAGTTAGTCTTTAGTTATTCGTTTGTACAATACGTTATTCAATAAACAATTTTATTATTTTATTTATTTATTTATAATGTCGAGGTTTTTGTTGACAGTTAGTTCGTACAAGTCTAGTACTAGTCTTTTCACGTGACGGGAAATTGAGCGCTAGTTGGTAACGTGACATGAACGTGACTTACGCGGTGGGCGGCTATTGCATGCAAACGAGCGCATTTGAACAACACATCGATCAACTCACGGTAACAATGACGTACTTTATGAAGAGTTAAACCTGAGTACAAGAAAGGGGTGAAGGTGCGTTCTTTATTGTCGTGGACACGCGTGCGCTTGCGCAGCCGGGGTGCAGAGCACGCGACGCACACAATGCGGTGAGAGTGTAAACAAGATGTAATCCTTCCCTGAGTCTCGTCGTCAGGTATTGAAGGGTTGCCCAAATTATTATCAAAGAAATAGGCACAATCACAATAGTATGTGATTTATTAATGTAGCAAGTTGGGTGTACTCGTACTAGAAAACAGTAGGGGATTGTGGTACGCTTACGCAAACATAATCACTGACATATGCATTCATTTCAACTTTCACGATTTTCACACATTATTTGATTTTAAATTAGGGACTTAATCGTGTAAACCTCTTCAATTCCTTCGAGCCATGGACGCTGCAACACGTCCAAAATGTCGAGATAAATAAAATATGTTTTTACGACTTTCCCGCTTTTAAAGTCAAATAATAAGCTCATAGACTTGTCGCTTAGTGACACTAGAGAGCAGGTGAGGGGGCCGGAGCGGCGCGGGGGCGGCGGCGGCGGGCACGGTGGCGTTAAGTTGAGCACATGAAACGTTCGGGAATTATATTATGCGTCCGTTTATTTGGCAGTAATGCACCGACGGCGAAGCCGGCGCGGTCCCGCGGGGCGCCTCAGATGGCTAGCGCGACTTCATCGATGGGGTGCATACACTTAGCCGGTCGTTTAAAACGTATTCTCAACTGAGTTGTAGCCACTTTATTGAAATTAAATTTGTGTCGTCGTGGGAACGCCGCCGCTGAAGGGTTTATAGCAAACTATTCCGGCGCACGGCGGGTCATGATCTCTGATATATAGCATACCCTAACTGGGGACAGGCGGAAACTCGTAAATGATTTAATTTGTGGGTTCAACTGCAAATTTACTCATCTTTTAAAGTCAGCTGTAAATTTTCGATTATAAAATAAATCTTTCAAAAGGATTGTCAATTTATTGTTGAAATCGCTCAGCAAAAGTTCGACCTTCATGTTATGCGACGCAAGTACCTATGCAAATTGTATGTGTAAATTTCTTTATTTTGGTTTTTGTTCTTATTGTATCGATATGTATGCACACTACACTAGGTATTATGGCCCGGAATAAATGTGACCAAATTGTCCTCTTTCGGACTAATCTGAGTCCGAAGCCAATTTAAAGACTTGTAAATCGGCCATGGCAATTCGTGTCCACGAAGTCTGGACAAAGGTAGAATATACTCTTTCGCGCCGCAGGTGGCCCCTCGCCTGAGCTGGCTGAATTGTTAGAGAATCGCAACATTTGACAAAACATTTGTACTGTGACGTAATCACTGCACAGTGCATGTATTTGTTTATTTTATTTTTGAGGGTACAAATAGCTAAACAAACATTTTACTAAATACATAGAATAGGTGTTGAACAATTTGAATCTTATTCGTATTTTTTAAATTAAAAAATAGGTGCGCATTTCATCTCCATCGCACCTGACGGAAAGTGACGATGAGGTCGACGACGGAGCATGAACACTAAAATAATGCCTACTCACTCTCGCTTTGACAAGGCTTAAGTTGTACCGCCTTATAAATGTGGAAGCGGGACGCTTGGCGGAGGATTCGCATCCTTAGAATATCCACAACGTAGGGGTGGAACCTCAGCCTATGTCTTGTCCCCTTGATGATGGAAAGGGGAAGGCGGAATTAAGTCGTGCCATTCCCTCACACAGTCACCGTAATATATCCTGTACAATACCGACAAGCAAGCAACTTTAAAGGGTTGTTCAAAGTTCAACTCCATGTCTACTAATTCCAAGTCACTTAAATATAAGCCTGTTGGCACGCTTTTCATCCGATTCCAAGGTGGCCAGTTGGTATTTAGTACAATTATCCCATAGGTGGCAACTGTTCTCCATACACGACCGAATCTACTGACCCGAGAGGTAGGGTTTTCCGGAGAGACTACGGTCTCGACGGCAAGACTAGAGTACAGCGGGCGTCCGCGTCAAGCCCTCTGCCAATGATACGCCTTTGCTTTTCTTTGCTTTGCTAGGGTTGCTGCAAAGACGGACATGTTTGTCTGCCCCGATTTTGCATGTGTCCGGGGAGTCTGTCTCGTGAGCAGCTAGCGCGTCGTAGTAGCGTAGTAGTAGTTGATGACGTGTATGCGACCTGTATGCGAGGAGACGCGCGGGGTACGTGAGTTGCCCTTTAAGTTGAAAGATATGTCCGGATATTGTCGCAGGTCACTACGACTGGCATCTCCGGCACTAGCCCGGAGAGCTAGTAGAGGATAAGCTAGATATCCTCCAGTCCCTCCAGCCGCTTAGGTTATTGGGAACTGGAGAGACGTCGTTATTCGGCGCCGGGATATGAGCGTGGCTTACAGCTCCGCCACCAATGAGGAGATTTGGTAGTTGACTCAGAGTCGACAGTTTAAGGGTAGCAACTGCTAGTTATGCAATGCGCAACGGGAAGTGAGCGTGCCTACAGCTCCGATATCTATCTGGAAAATAGGGAGGGTAAGAATAGGATGAAGTCAAGTGACAGAGGTCTGTGAGAACCCTGTATACTGGCTGGTCTGGGGTAAAACCTGAATTTGTAAAGTTCCTGTGCGCGCACAGGTTATGGTTTCCTTTTCGTATGCGTATACGTAAGGGTAGGTAGGGAGAGTCACTATAATCAAAACTAACGTAGAAAGACATGGTGCTTGTCCCGGCGTGAAGTTAATGCCTCACTTTGGGAAGGACGCCAAGCTTTCTGGCTGATTTTTGGCCACGGATTTCATGTATATCCCGAAGTTCAAACAGACAGGTCCATTCCAAGTAGCTGGCGACCGTCGGCTATCGGTATGGATAAAATACGAAAAGTCGGAGGCAAGTCAAAGGGACTCCATTTTGTTGAGATAAGACTGGCCTGCGTTTTGGTAACGTTGAACTGCCTTAAGTGTCAAATGAAAACTACTAACCGTGGACTCTCGGCAAGACTGAATTTCTGCACCACTGACCCCTGTATTGGACAAGTACCTGTCTACAACTGTGCTGTCGTCAGTATTTCCAATTGTAGCTGGAATTAACATATCGTTGCTATGGAGCAGAAAGAGACTTGCAGACAGTATGGATTACGGAACCCTAAGGACCTCTGGCATCTATCGCCCGATATTCGAAAGAGTAGCTTTCTAAAACCACTCAAATCGAAATTTGGCTCAAAATTCGAGATTCAATTGCAAAGGTCTTTGGGAAGCTCATAAGAGGGAAGCTTGCTTTAAAGGCTTGCGTACCAGACCTCATCAAATACTTTATAAAAATCCAAACACGTTGGAAGTGCTTCACCACTTCTCGATAGGCATGCTCACCATAAGCATGGAATTGGTATTATGCAATTTTGCGTCTTGTTATACTAGATACATTCTATGATAAACTTTCGATTGAATTCAGACACCTCGAATGTGGGTACGAATATTCTTCAAAGCAAATAATTAAACTAAACTGTTATGACAAGGGTTAAACGGGTATGAAAATTCAGATGCACAATAAAATATTCCCAGAGCCCTGAAAGACTAGAAATAGTAAGTGTAATCGTCAAAGTAATGTCAACTTGCTTCATCACCAGTAGAGAGATATATTTCTTTAGTTAGGCTAGTCGTTAATAATATTAGTCACAAAGTTTAACAGTGTATTTCATTATTAAACAAGTTTTCCTGTTGATTCGTTATCTTGGTTTTTAAACAAATATTTTCTCAATTGTAGTTGAATAACCTTAAGTTTATTTTAATTTAAACCTTGTGTTTTAAAACGTAATCTCAACCTGTATCCTAATTAATTGTAGCAATAATAAACGCACCGATCCAAAATGTTCGTGCTGTGGCGTTGGAACGCCATATGCCACTGACTGAATATAAAACTGTATAAAAAGGCGCATTCTTGTTGATTTCTGAGACAGAATGCACTATGTCCGAATAAAAATACTGATTAGTGAAAACATATAAGTAAAAGTACTTGACCGTGTTCCGTATTGTGATCACCTCACTAAATTCATAATTCCGTTTTCAATTGAGTAAAACTTGAAACATGATAATGTTTTTTAGATCTAAAACCAAAAAAATTCTTTGAAATTTAGTCACTGGGTGATAGTAATAATCATAAAAGTAGTCAAAGGGTGTTGAAGTTTAATATGTAAGATCTAACAACACTAATATTTTTATTTTTATTTACTTATTTTATTGAAACTGTTTCAATGATTTTGTTACATATTTTGCGACACAGCGTTTGAGTTGGATCTAAATCAATGTTTTGTTTTTTAATAATAAAATTGAAAACTGAAATCTTGCAACATAATAAATTACTTAATGGAAGGACGTCAACTTTAGAATTGTCAATCAAATTATAAAAGCAGATGATCCAAAGTTTTTAAAATAGTCTGATTTCTTTACACAAAATCTTGGAGCTACCTAGGTTTAAAATAGTCGTGACAATGTCAAGTGTCGTTATACGATCTTTCAGTAGATATTTTTTTATTTCTTTTCATTTCAACGGGCTTACCTTTAAACCAATACAAATTATAAATACTGTAAAAGTAATTAAGAATAATTAAGTGTTTATTATTATTTTATTAAGAGCACCTCTTAATTTAGACTACGTTTTTACCAATTGTATTGACGGCGGTGTGGCTGGACATGAGCAGAAGCAAAACTTTACTTCATTTCAGGAATGATTAGTTTGTAGCAGTAGCGCTCCTTGCGAAAGCGTTCGTCCAGGGAAGTATCGCCACCTTGCCTATTTTTGCCGCCAAGCAATAATGTCAGCATCACTGCGTTCGCCGGTGTCAGCGCCAGCTCGTTAGATCTTTTTTCCATTTTCTGTGTGTGTTAACATTGATAATTCGCTAACTTTGGTAGAGCTCTTGATTTTTGTCGCTGGTACTCATTATTTTATGTGAAGAAAACACTACCTTACTTCAAAATATAATTATTGACAAGATATATTTTCGAATTATAACAAACATCCAACTTTGTTGTTAGAACTTTCGATTAGATTTGTCAATATCGATATTGGTTTGAAACCAAATACATCAATATCTACTTAAAGGCCGTGCCTCAGCTTACCGTAACTGCGAGACGCACGAGTCTCGCTAGCCCAGTCTTGTTCTTACTCAAATCTTGCAGGGTCGGTGTTGGCCTTGGTACAATTAGGCGGCCTTGGTCTTGGGCTCGTAGAAATGCAAGAGCAAGAACGATTTTGGGCAACAACAACCGCAACTGCAGTCAACTTTGTAGACTAGGTGTTTGATATAGCAAGACTTCCTTCGGAGTAACCGCCGTGTTGTTCATTTATGCCGGGAGTGCAGTCGGTATGGGGCATTGACGATGGCCGTGGCCGATTTTGTCCGTCACTCCTTTAACATAGAATATTTAAGCTGGTTGTCTACTAACCTCCCGATGACTGTACGTTCTTTTCGACTCTTTGCGCCGTCAGACGTGGATGAAGATTACCTACACTGCCGTGGCCACGACCACTGCGATGTAACCGACACTTCGGGACAATCGGTAGGTTTGCAAATACCTATTAAACGATATTATCGTGTTTTTATTCCCGTTTGTAATGTTATTATAATGCACCAATATTCACGTGTCACTGTGAACAATGCTCTTTCAAAGGTGGCAGAGTGGTTTTGCGGTTAATTGCCTGCATCTTAATAGGACAAAAGAAATTATGTGAAATTTACATTACCTAATGTTGGACAGAGTGTACAACATCATAGTTATATAATATCTACGTAAACAGGTATGAAAAATTGAATCTCGTAGATACACTTGTATTTTTGACCTAAGATAAACTTCGACGTAAAATTGCAATGGGGTTGACAAATAACAAATAAAGTTGTCGAAACGGCTCTGCACTGCAGTGTCCGCGATTATAAAAATACGAAAGCTTTGAGACGTACAAACCATTTAATGTTATACGTCATTTTGTTTTGGGGTAGTGCCGCGGACATTAATATCCTCTTTATCGAGAAGAAACGTGCAATCAAGGCAATTTCAAACTGGTTTCCAGAGCTTAAAGAAATTAAAATTCTTATGGGTACCTACTGGACTCGTACATTTATGTAAATGTTATTTACGGTAGAAGACTTTTTATCACTAAAAATAGTGATGGAAGGTGTATCAAAACCAGGAATAAAAGTAAACTGGCTGTTCTTGACAGTTACCTTTAAAAAGTCAAGAATTTACTTCAGGAGAAATGTATACGTTTATATAATAAGATTCCTCTAGAAATGTATTCAATATTTGCAATTACTGCGTTCCGGTTTGCAATGGTAAGGGTGCTAGTGAAGTTACAGGCACATGGTACTTGTCAACTTATGTCTCAGGGTGTCAGACGCAGTGGCAATGCCCCTGAGATTATTGCGATTTAAAGCTCTCAATGGCACTGCAACTGTTATGGACAGGCGTATAGCTTACCATCAGGCGCACGACTGCTTGTTCATCCTGTTACTTGATATTATAAAAAAACATTCGTACAATAACAAACAACAATATGCACAAGTACCTATACATTCAAAGAAATACTAAAAACTCGTGTTTTGTAATAAGTAAATGAAAGAAACTAATTTTAAATGTAGTGAGGCAGTAAATACGTAAGTGCGGGGCTGCCGAGCAACGAGCCACAGGTACGTACCGTGACTGGGCGGCGGCGAAGGCGACTTGATCAGCTCGCCCGACTCTTCTGCAACAACAAACGAAGAGTGCATTACATTAGAGAATTATTATACACTTGTAAACACTGGATCGTAACGTCGCTCATGGCGCTGGTTAATTAAACAAATAAACACCGAAGATAACACTAATGTATTTGTAAGCAAGAATCGTCTGTGGGCTTCGGTATTAGCCGCAATATTAGAAGCAGGAAGCTTCGCGAGGTGCGAGACACGACGACACGCGCGCTTGCATTGCCTGCGAAGCCATACACATGACAGCGCTGTTCCTTTCCTCAACACAGTAACAGCCCGGCTCCTCAACCTGCTTGTGCCTGCCGGTACGCTGACAATGTAACGACACCAATAAATTTAAGAACTCGTTTGAGAAGTGAGCGATACGAGTTACATAGAGCGCTCTTGACAAAATGTAAGTACGAGGAATAATTCAAGATATGTATGTAGCAAGCGACGAGGCGACGAGGCGACGACGAGGCGACGAGGCGGTGGCGACGGTCAGATCACGGTAATGGGATTACCTAATTAAGCCGCCAAATTAATCCGTGGTCCCACGCCCGTCGCGCACACACTGCGACCGCGTGTCCTCGCGTACAAAAACAAACAATGACGATGATAGGAATTAACGTATGAAATGCCCTTCTATATAAAAGTATTGAAACGAAAAAAGGTTTAATAATATATTAATTTAATAAAATTATGCAATCATGCTATCATATTCGTATTCCTTAGCGGAAGAATAGTGTGATTGGGAACTGAAAAGGAAAGTGTCGGGTTTGGAACTCTTTCCGACTGTTCCAAGGTCCCAAATTATTTTGGTTGTAAATAATTATCTCAACTGCGACAAAATTCGGATGAGTATAAAAATTTTAGTGACTAAAATCGGCAACTCCTGCAAACAATTGACGGTTAGTTCGCCAGTCATAGTTGTATTAGATCTAGGAAAGCTAACTTGGGTTACTCTGAGGCGAGACTACCGAATACTTATCAACATTTTTTGTGTAAATAACTCCTTTTTGGAAACTGTTTCCCTTGTCACACGAGTTCTGCTACTCAGTTGATCGTTTGCATTATCGAAAATAATAAATTTTTCTTCGCATCTCAATCGTCCTCTAAAATTCCCTCGTAGTAGTGTCGATAGATGTGGTCTGTGGTCGATAGCTATGTTAATATGTCGATCGCTATATGTATCAATTTTTCTAGTTTCTTAAAAATGTTTTAGATTTAGCGTTATTGGCTCGAAATAGAGAGTATAGTCATTTCGAATTCTGCCTGGATTTCCTTCTTAATTTCCAATGAAACGGCCGCAATCGCAGGGCGCCTGTCGTCAATAATCACTTTAAAATCAAAGTCACAAGCCTCATTTGCCAGGTTGTGGCAAGCCGAAAGCGCACAGTGCCAGACAGGGCGTTCGCTAGTCGTGTTCGCTCCGTACGTCGTTAATGTCGCGAATCGCATCAATGCCTCGGTCACGTTGAAAATTATACGAATTTAACGGTAACCGCGTAGTGGCCTTCGAGCCGGAAGCGAAGTCAATCAAAACGTTCACAAATGAATGACAATTTTAAATATGCAAGTGTTAAAATTTTATTTGTAAAATAATTTGTGATCTAAATTAACACCATGATGAGTATTTTTATTTCATATTGAATTGATCAGAACCAAAGGCCACCACTTGCATAAAGAAGTTTCGTCTCATTTGTTCTTAAGGAACAAAAAGGTCATTAAAATACTCGCAACATCTTTATTCGAAAGAAGTGTATGCGCTCCACTGTACAGGGTTACTAAATCTCCGATCAAATCCATGCAAAACGCAGATTCCAAAAGTACAGAGATAACGACGATTTTCGATTAAAGATAGACATGTTGTAGGTATTACGAGACGACGATAGCGAGAACGGTAGCGGCGTGTACCTGCCGCTACGTCGTTGCGTAGGCGCAGATGTTTATGCAAGCAATACTAGTCACAGAAAAAACGACAAAGCTCTGTGATTGAAACGTCATTGCGATATCTCCGTTTTTTGCATTTGCTGCGCACAAAAGACGCATGGCAATAATCGCGTTGCAAATTCTCATAAAAAGCAACATTCGTTTTTTTATCGCACCCAAATCCTTTTCCAAGTTTGCGATGTAGTTTTTAAATTCGATACTATTTACTCAGGTGCTCCGCGCCGGAACGCAATTGAGCTGTTCTACAAGTTAAACCGCCAACATGAATAAATACACCGAGAAGGTGTAACGATGGCATGCTTATGATGTATCATTTTATAGTTGGTAATTAATCATGTGGGCGGATCTTAATAAGTGTGCTTCGTGTTTCTAGAGGTACATAAACGCAGCTACAAACTTGTCGCTACAAGAATAAATCCAGCGAACCTTGTGACTGCCGTTCATTGAAATGGTTTATATTATTGTAGTAGCAGTAGAACTCCTTGTGTAAGAGTTCGTCCAACGAAGTCCTGCCTGCCACTTTACCTATTTCTGGCGACAAGCAGTAATGTGAGCGTTACTGCGTTTCGGTCTGGAATGGTAAGGGTACTGGTGGAATTACAGGCACGTGGGACTTGTCAACTTTTGTCTCAGAGTGAAGGGCGCAGTGGCAGTGCCCCTCAGATCTTTGCGATTTAAAAAGCTCTGAGTGGCACTACAACTGTAATGCACAGGCGTGTAGCTTACCACCAGGCGCATCACTTGTTCGTCCTGTCGATTGATATTATAAAAAAAAAATCGGTGGAGATTCTCAGAACGAAGAGGACGAATCGAATTCAAATAGAATTCAAAAGAACAATTACTAAATAAACAAGTGTGACGCGTGGTCCACTACGTGCTACGCATACACTCACGTGTCGAACTTATGTGCGAATGTTACATCTCTATATTGGTATGTACTCGTATGAGCGACAGCGAACAAAAATATGGGGAACATGTTCCAGTGAATTCCACTTTTTAAATAGTTTACACAATTTTGAAGATATCTACCACCTGGGGTACCTACGTACCTACCTGTCAATGGACATGCCAAAATTGATCCCAAATAAGCAACCAATTATGTGCCAGTTAAGTTAGAAACTTAAACTAAGTGCAAGGAAAAAGGAGCAATTCTTTATAATTATAAGAACCCTGAAGGTCGAAGGACATTCTGTGCTCTGGAGCAGATTTAGTTAATAATAATTTAAAAAATCTGATAATTTGGTTGGGCACATATTGAAGAATGAAAGGAATGAAGGTGAAGCACACAAAAAAGCGAATGTCTCGGCGCTACGAGCGAAAAAACGGCGCTGATGCTACGTCGTAGCACATTGTGACAAATAAATAACTCTTGTCTGTAGACTTTCTTAAACACTGTTTTTTTTCTAATATACTGCACGAGAGCTTGCTCACGGTAATCTTGAGACCATTCCTGAGATTTTGTAAGATTAAATGCTACTATTAGATATATTAGAGATTGTCGTCAGTACTCACGGTAAGAGCAGTAGGAGCGCGCACCGGCGCGGGCGCACGACAACACCATCGCGAGAAATGAAGCAGTAGCAGTGGCCGAGGGTATAACGTGGAGAACCAGGTGGGCAGTGGTGGTGTCCCGGTCGTGAGTGTGCGACGCGATCGACGCGCGGCTTCTGACTGCGGGCGAGTTAGTGCCGCGCCCCGGCACCGTGCGCCCCCCGCACCCCACCCCCGACCCTCGAATTAAACATTTTTAACTTTTTTGTCCGAATCCGTTTCTTTTCCGCCCCTGGTGAATTTTTTTAAGCGCGGCTTCGCCATTATTTCGATTACCTGCGGAGATTTTTTTCGCTTTCGCCGTTCGTCTGACGTACGATGCGCGTTAAAAGCTGTTTAGGTTTTTTGGGAAAGGGGAGCGTCGAGTTCGACGCGCGAATTCCGATATCGGGTTCAAATTAAAAAAAATGTGTAAAATTCGGTTGCAACGTGCGCGAACCGTTGCCGCTCTCGCCCTCCACACTCCACTCCAGGACACTGCTTCACCCCCGATGTACCCAGACGCGGCTGGTGCCGACATTGTCGTGTTAAAATAAGCTAACAGAGATCAAAAGGTCGAACATCATAAATATGAACTCTCCAGAATCACGATAAGATATCTAGATACATAAAGAAACACTAGATTTAAACGTAGGTGACATTTTTACTATAAAAGTCCCGTATTACTAGCTCAGCACCGAGAGCCTCAAGCCCGGCTGAGCTGCAAACACATCAAAGTTGAAATAGCTGATTGACGCGGTATTGGTATAAGATGGAATAGTAAGCAGCCCTGCGGGCGGACGCGGCGCTGGTCGCTTTGTGATGGTAATCGCGCGCAAATAGCGCCCGACCGAACTACAATTCCTCCCGGACCGTGTCCGGCGCTCGGACGGCGTTCGCCGCCAGCTCATGCATTGCTATCGGCCAATGCGTTTACGTAAGATGTTTGTTTAGGCGCCGGGCCCGAGTATTGCTACTTTGAATAAGTGATTCGCCGCTTTATAGCTCCGTTCCTTTTAACCCCGACAAAAGTACACTTATTTGCGCGGCGATTTCGTATTCCATGAATTTTATTAGTCGGTCCCGCTCGGAGCCCTCTCAGCGCTCCGCTCGAGCTCAGCGAGCGAAAGATCAAATTCAAATAAGGATCCAATTTCCTTTCGCGTTTGGTCAATAACCCGGTGAAGAGAAATTGTTTCTCTGTAATTTTCTATTTCACTTACAACATGGTTATGTTGAGAAAGCCCGAAACGAAAGCAGATAGAGGTTGCACGATATTTTTAGTTCCGTAAAGTAAGTAGCAATCAGTCATTCAGAGCATAAAGTTCGAAATGATAATTATCATTGACCATTTTTATTTATTATTACAATAATTGTCTTGATAAAAACACCTTCATTACCTATTACAAAATTAAAAAGTTTTCAAATACTTCATTTCAGATTATTCATCCATATTGGTTAGTATCAAACAAAGGAATACTTTTTGAACAGCGTGCGGTTAGGTACTAGTGTGGTGGTAGTTCTTGTCTGACAA